GAAATTGAAGTTCCCACATATCAAAATTCCCAAGGTTGGGAAACACTGACCTAAACTGAGAAAAAAAATATATCTTCTTTTCTACTGCCTGCTGTCTTGCTAGAAACCACAGGAGAGAGAGAAAAAATCACGCTATCCAGAGGTGGGTATTCAGCCGGTTCTGACCCAGTTCTGGAGAACCAGTAGCAGAAATTTTGAGTAGCTCGGAGAACCGGCAAATACCACCTCTGACTGGCCCCGCCCCCATCTATTCTCTGCCTCCTGAGTCCCAACTGATCGGCTGGGTCTTCTTTGGTTGCCCTGCACAGGAGAACGGAGCTGGAAAGCAGGTTAGTGGGGTGGGGAGGGAATGGAGATTTTGCAGTTACCTTCCCCTGCCACGCCCACGATGCCATGTCACAGCCACCAAGCCACACCCACAGAACCAGTTATAATTTTTTTTTTTGAATCCCACCACTGCTTTCTCTGTACCTGTAGCGCATTGTTCAGGAGGGACCCACTGGCTTGGAAGCAGCCATTTTCTTTCTGCTTTAAGGCCAGAAAGTTCTGAGCGTCGATCAGGTGTCTTTCCTCCACAAGGATGTGTCTCTTCATTTGAGAAAAGCACTTCAACACAAAAGCGGTCAGCCTGCAAGAACAGAGCGCAACCCCATTAATTTTGCTTTTCATTTTTAGCCTCTGTGCACCCTTTAAAAGCAGTGACCCCCCCACAACTTTGTGGGGCACTGTTCTGACCCAAACTTGTTCCAAGGAAACCAAAGGTGGGATTCTACCAGTTCACACCTATTCGCTAGAACCGGTTGTTAACATTCTAAGCAGTTTGGAGAACTGGTTGTTAGAAGAAATTACTGGCCTAATCCTGTGAGGAAGGCAGGAAGGAAACATTCTGGTGTTGCTTACAGAATCTGCCTCTCCGCTAACCATTATTACATTCTTGGCAGGACTGGACTTCCCGTCTCAGGAACTTCTCTGGAGTTTTTTTGTCCCCTCCTTTGCTGGTACTTTGCTTGTGTGGAGTGACCATTCAAAGTTACAATGGCACTGAAAAAAGTGACTTATCACCATTTTTCACACTTACAACTGTTGCAGCATCCCCACAGTCATGAGAGGCCAGGCAAGGAGATGTGTGCCTTGATGTGAGTGATATTGAGTTGGCCATACCCAGGCAATAACATGCCCACCAAGCCATGTCCACCCAGTCACATGACCACCAAGCCACACCCACCAACTAAGCCATGCCCACAGAACCAGTTGTTAAAAAATTTGAATCCCACCCTTGAAGGAAAGCAAAACAAAATGGAGGTAACAGCAAAACTTTTTAATGATTCTTTACGAATTCCGTTCCTTCCCGGTTAAAAGGCTGTTTCAAACGAATTGTCTCTGATAAGAACGAGCCTTGCCAAGGTTGTGCAAGGCTGCCAACAACACTAGATAAAGTTGCCAAGTAATATTTCAAACATAAAGAGTCCCCAAACACAAACTAAGGGAGTCCGAACGTCCACAAGGCTTGAGTGCAAAAACTTCTTTGCTTCCTGCAAAGAACTCCGGTTTCTCAGCTGGCTTTTATCTCTTAAGGGAGGGGCCATTACCTTGCAGCCTTACTCCCGAGTCTGCCGTGCTGCTGCAGCTGCTCTTTCCTTCAAGCAGCTCTGCGCGCCCACACACTGGGCACAGGCTACTGGAACACTGTTATCACATCACCCCTGGTCCTTCTTTTCTCTAGACTAGACATACCCCATATCAGCATTTTGCAAACCTGCAGAGACAACCTCAGAGGCTAATGCCGTGAATCTTACCAGACATTTCCAGGCTGGTTGCTACTTTGCCCAAAGGTGCTGTAGGAACCGTCGGCATGCTTGTAGTTCAACTGTCTCTGGTAGCCTGCAATAGAGGGTGAATGTTAGTTTGTATGTATTCAATAAACAGCGAAGCCTTCCTTGAGTCAAGCTCAGGGCTTGATGACTTTGAAGATACATCCATGTTTGTGTTTTTACATTAGAGAAACGGACTGTTAATAAGTTTTCTGACCTCCCAGTCTAAATAGAAACTTGGGACTTTTTGGGTAGTTCTCCTATACAAATGGTGACTGTTAGGAATATGACTCACCTAACAGCTATTTGGGTTAGAAATATATAAACCAGGATAAACATTTTCATACTATGTCTTTAAGAGATTGCAAAAACTGCAATTGGGTGTGGTTTTTCAAACGGCCATAAGATGGAGCCAGAAGCCTGGATTGTTTTAGTCTGAGTCTCAGAAGAGAGTGTGAGCGTATCTCTGTTTCCTTCTGTTGGAAAGTATTGCCGTTCCTCCATTTCTTCTAATTGACTGATATTCCTGGATTTAATGTAAGCCTGATACTGAACTGTTCTTTGACACTGGACTATTTGGATTATCCCTGGATTGAAAACTGACTGATTTAACTTGTGAATGACTTTGGATTGCTTGTTTGGACTTTGCTTAACGTTTCTGGAAGTAAAAACCGACATTTACTGTACAGTGTATCTGTGTGCTCTGTGTGTATTATTCCTACACTACTCTCTATACGTCTCCCTGTATGCGCTCATTCTCCTAACGGGGAATTACCTCAACAGTGATTTCTGAGGAAGAAATGGCAGATTGAAGATGGCCGGAGGTGGGACCTGACCGGCATAACAACTGGTTTGAGGAGCGCACGCATGCGTGTTAAACATGTGCTACACGCACATGCGCACTACCACCTCCGGCAAGCATTTACCTTCTCCAGCTGACGAGTGACACTCAGCTGTGCCACGCAAAGCAGCTGAGGAGGAAAACGCAGCCACTAAAGGACAACCTAGAGCCCGGGCAGGCGGTGAACCAGATCGGTGTCAGCTGTTCTTTGGAGCTACCGGTTCTATACAACCGACCCGAACCAGTAGGATCCCCACCCCTGAAGATGGCTCCCCCAAAAGGCAGAGCCAATAAGCAAACTGAAAATAGACCGCTCTTTGATAATTCCTCTCCAGCAAGGAGAAGACTTGAGATTACCCACAAGTGCTCCAGACAGTGGCTCCTTTCAAAGAGACCACAAGGGAGTGGTCTCCATTCAATGTAGAGGCCTGGGAGATGAGGGAATCCTCAAACCATAATCAGCATCTTTAAGGATACTGGGCTATAATTTACTTCCTTTTCTCATTACTTCCAGAAGTTGCTTGTTAACTAATTTTTAGCTTATTCAGAACCTTTGGATCAACAAGTCTTGAAAATGCCAGGTAAGTTTCTTTTAATTCTTAGTGAAAGAAATTTTAATTAAAACTTGGATTTTAGAAAGTTATAAATGAACTAAAAGTTGAGATAAATTTGATGCGTGATTTTGGAATGAGTATATAAAGAATTCTTCCCCTAGACTTTAAAAATTGGAGGCTAGAGGGAATTGAATTAAAGGTTATAATTAAAGGAGAAGAACATTCACTAATTATATCAGAGATGCCCTTTGCGTAGTAAAATAAAATAATATTAAATAAATGGAAATATCCCTCTTCAACAAAAGGAAAATTACCATTATTATTATTATTATTATTATTATTATTATTATTATTATTATTAT